GTGTGTCAGGGTGCGTGGTGTGTCAGGGTGCGTGGTGTGTCAGGGTGTGTGGTGTGTCAGGTTGTGTGGTGTGTCAGGTTGTGTGGTGTGTCAGGTTGTGTAATCTGGCTCTGCTGCAGATGCAAGTGCTTATTTGCCCTAAGGAAAGGAAGACAGGAGAAAGGGGTATAAGGGAAAAATAATAAGTGATAAAAAGTTCAAGGAAATAGAGGAAAAGGGGAAAAAGAAGGAGGGAGGGAGGGAAGGAGAAAGAGAGAAAGGGGGAAGGAAGGGAGGGAGGATCAAGAGAGAGAGTGTACACACCTGTGTTCTAGGACAGAACAAAAAGTTTAGACTCAAAAAAACTAAAAAAAAAAAAAACTATAAAAAAAAAAACAAAAGCAGCCTGTTTCTTTCCTACACAAAGTTAAGCACTGACTGCTCTTCCAGGGGTACTGAGTTCAATTCCCAGCAATCACATAGTGGCTCACAACCATCTGAAGTGGGATCTGATGCCCTCTTCTGGTATGTCTGCAGAGAGCAATGGTGTACTCATATACATAAAACAAATCTTTTTTTTTTAAAGGATCTTAAGAAAAAGACTATTTAAAGCCATGAAGCTACATATCTGTCATCCCATATGCACATAAAATAAATATGAAAAAAATCCAAGACCTGAGCTATACAATAAGACCCTATCTAAAAGGAGGGAGAGGAGCTGAAATCCAGTCAAAATAGGTAGCTTTATTTGAATACCAGTCGGTGCAAACTAAGGAAAGAAATTACAAGACTCCTGGGAAAAGTGGGTAACACTTTGATAGTGGGGGGTGGGAGTGCTGTATTCTCAAAGTGTTATGGGAATGTATGCACATGTATTTGCATTTAGTTATTTCAACATTCTAATCAGGTTCTGATGAAATGAAAGTGAGGGGCTTATCATATGAGGCTCTTCACTGTGGCAGGAAGCAGTTTATAGCTGGCTCTCGGGTGGATAGTCTCATGAAATCCAAATGGGCTTCTCTGCTGGAATTAGTTCACCAGGCTTCCCGTTGAGAAGCATGCTTAAATTATTCACTGAAGCGCTTTGATCCTGGCTGTTGAGCTCTGCTTCATTTTGCTTCCCTCTGTCAGAGAAGCATCTGTAGATGCTGGGCTACTTTCCAAAGCAATAAAAGGCACACCCGAGAACATGGAATATACCCAGCATGATCTAATTCAAGTGGCCTGATTTATTGCCACAAACAAAAGAGAAAGTACATGGGTGGATAGGCTGCTGGTAGCACACGCTCCAGGGGTTCCAAGAAGGCAACAGCCATGATAGGGACACGTTTCACAGCAGTGACTAGGCTTGACCAAGTTTACCAAGACTCAGTCAGCTGCCCTCCTCCTCTTTCCCACCAGGAACATGAAACTGCGTTGGGATTCTTGGGAAGTTCAGAGGCACACATGGACATTTGGAGACTTTGCTGTCCCCTTCTCATCTCTAGTGTCCCAGCATTTGAATCAGCCCAACTTCTCCTTCCCTAGGGCAGAATGGCAGCTCTACTAAAACCTGTGGCCACTGACTCATAGAAACAGAGTTGTTCTTTCTCTTTGTTTCTTTTTAGAGGAACATGAGCTGGCAGTAGATATGGAAACCATCAGCCTGGACCGAGATGCAGAGGTAATGCTGCCTGCCTGACTTAGTCTCAGGGGGCATGGTTACAGAGGACCCTAATCATCAGCTAATCATCATTTGTAAAGGTGTCAAATTAGTAATTAGAGAGATCACCTAAGCCTCCCTTGATTGTGTTGCTTTCCTGTATTTTTACTATTTAGTACCAGCAGTTGAAATCTACTTCTGCTTAACCAGTAAGAACTGTATGGCAGATGAAATGCTTTTGACTTATAAGTTACATGAGTGCAGTAATCCTGTTGATGGCAGGATCCTCAGAAACCCCAGTTTTGGGAAAAGTGTGTGTGTGTGTGTGTGTGTCCCCAGTTCTAGGGGATTGAATTGAGACTGACCTCTACGTTAGGTCTATTTTATATAAGACTAACACACTAAGTCACAACTTAACCAAAGAGTGTCTACCTGTCAACTTACGTTGTGTCATTGTCACCTGCCAGTCCTCTCCCTTGCCTTCCCACGTGGCACTCTCCCATGTAGCTCCTGGCCAGGTCTCCAGGAACTCTGATGGATCTGAGAGAGATCCTTCTATGTTTCAGGATGTTGATCTGAATCACTATCGAATTGGAAAGATTGAAGGCTTTGAGGTGCTAAAGAAAGTGAAGGTGAGAGGGCTTGCTCTGTCCTTGCATACAAGGTGACCTGGTAACCTTACTCGACTTGGGGACTATGCAGTCCTTGTTCCCATCCTATGGGTGGTACTGGCCTATATCCTCTTATCTCTATTCTGAGTGGGATAGGTTGCAGAGCTCAAGTCTGTCTGGGCTCTCAGGCTGCCTCAGTGAGCACTTGCACAGTCTCCTGTCCGTAGCTCACTGCAGTTAAGTTTGCTTCTCAAAATGGAGCCCAGTAAAGGTTCCTTCAACTTCCAGGACTTGGCCTACACTCCAACCCTATTCAATGTCTCCCCACACAGGTGTGCTCAGCATGGGGTCAGCCTGGCTTCCCTTTGGGCCTGTACCTGTCCTCAATAGAGGAGGGTAATTCCAGCTTCCCACTCTCACTCACCTGCCTCCTGAAGGCCAGCATAAACCAGCCCCTGGAGGGTGGCCCTGTGTTCTCCTGAGCCAATGCCAATTCCCTTCCTACCCTCCAGTCACTCTGCCTTCGTCAAAACCTAATTAAATGCATTGAGAACCTGGAGGAACTACAGAGTCTTCGAGAACTGGATCTCTATGATAATCAGATCAAGAAGATTGAGAATCTTGAGGCACTGACAGAATTGGAGTGAGTAGGGGAACCCAAAGGAGGTGGGACAGGTTGGGTGGCAGGTTCCTCAGAACCATCCCACTGGCTGCCTGTAGTCCTGAAGGGCTTCCTCTATACCAGCCCTGTCCTGTGCTAGGGCTCCCAAGAGGGAGGTAACAGCAGCTGTAACCATGCTGTAAGCTCCAGCTAAGCATCTGGCTGGGTTCCCTGCAGTAATGATGTCAGAATCGGGGAAAGGGGAGCTTTAATCCATAGTTCCCCTTTTTAAACAAAAGTATCAGCATCATTTCTGACTCAAGGAGTCAGCTTTACCTAGCTGTAGTCTTAGCTGCACTTCACTCATTGGTTTGGTGATGGGTTTTGTTTTGTTTTGTTTTGTTTTGTTTTTTTGAGCCCAGGCGGAGCTGAATTCTCTGTAGCTGATGGTAATCTTGAATCTTGAACCTCAAGCCTCCCCCTCTCCAGTACTGGCCTTACAAACATGAACTACCATGTCCAGCTGCTTTGTGATTTTTTTTTTTTTAAGATTTATTTATTTTATGTATGTGGGTACACTGTAGCTGTCTTCAGACACACCAGAAGAGGGCACTGGGTTCCATTACAGATAGTTGTCACCTACCATGTGGTTTCTGGGAATTGAACTCAGGACCTCTGGAAGAGCAGTTAGTGCTCTTAACTGCTGAGCCATCTTTCCATCCCTGCTTTGTGATTTTTATTTGTTTCAGTTTTAGTCTAACACTGCTCAGGGTGAACTAGTATAGGGCATGGTACTAGGTTCTTCATGGACATAGGCATGAATGAAACCTAGTTTCTGCTCTTAAGTAAGGCTCTAGGAGACAGTGTTCATAGCCTGCAGGTTGCCTTCACTGCCCTCCAAGCTCCAGGCAACCTCATGGTCCCATAAGATGACAGCTCCAGTGTGAGCCAGTCAGTGAATGACGGGGCCATGGTCAGATCTTACCTCCTAGTGACTGACGCTCTAAACCCTCTTAACTGGGATTCCAACTCCTATACAGACTATGTGCATTCAAGACATATTTTGCTTCTATTTAGGGTTCTAGATGTTTCTTTTAATTTGCTGAGAAACATTGAAGGGATTGACAAACTGACACAGCTAAAAAAACTCTTCTTGGTCAACAATAAAATCAATAAAATTGAGAACATAAGCAACTTACATCAACTGCAAATGTTGGAGCTGGGGTCTAACCGGATTCGGGTAAGTACCGGTCACACTTTCTCTTGGGAACAGTTCTCTGGGCTTTATAGATCTTCAGTGGTACACATAGGGGTATGTGCTGAGTTTTTCTCATGTTTGTATTGTTTGGAGGAAGCAGGGAAATATTTGCTAAGGAAAAATGCTAACTGGAAGCTATTATTAATAAGAACTGTGCTCACAAAAAAAAAAAAAGAAGAAGAAGAACTGTGCTCACACCAACTGGTCTAGTCTGGGAGTTAGCTTTCATTGGTTCTTCATTTATATCACGGCCCTGTGCCAAGCCAGTCCCAGCTGTGCTCTATAAGGTTAGCCAGCCAAGGTTTCCTTTTAACCTGTTCTTGTGGTTTTCCTCCATCAGCATCTGAGATACGTTTACCAAGGTGAGAAAGGTGGTCACTTATAGTGATCTGTCATGTGATAAGCAAGTATCTTGCTGCTGAAATGCCCCAGAAAACAGGGCTAGCCCTTCATCCCCTAAACATAACCTTGAAACCATGAGTCAGAATGGAAATGAGAAGCCTGTTTGCTTGTTTGTTATTTGTTTGTTTGTTGAGACATTGTTTCTATGTGTAGCCTTGGCTGTCCTGGAACTCACACTGACCAGGCTGCTGCCTTTGAACTCAGAGATCTGTCTTCCAGTGCCTCTTGCTGGGATAAAAGGCCTAGTCCCCACTGCCAGAGAAGCTTTTTTTTTTTTTTTTTTAAAGACAAGCTCTCACCTACCATGTAGCCCAGACCAGCCTGGAACTCAGAGAGATCTTCCAGTACTGGGATTAAAGGCATGTACCACCACACCCAGAACAGCAAAACCAGCTCTTTACCAGTTGACTAGTAACTACTCAGAAAAGTCCCTTACATCTGACAGAGGAAAAGCTCAGAGGATCATATAGGTAATGGTATTGGAGGAGGATCTGCCTTGCAGAGAAGGGAGGAGGGTTTGGTCAGTCCTCATTCTGACGTCCTGACGTCATTGTTATATGCCTGTCCTCATCCTCCTTGGTTAGTGGCTGAGGCCAGTATTTACAGGTATGTGTCTGCCCACCCGTGTTTGGAGCAACTGCCATCTGGTTTTCAGCAGTGCTATATACAATACACTGTGGCCTGCCTGCCCTTGAGGTTCTTGAAGAGCCGTAAGGATACAAAGCTAGGGCTAAGACACATGACTGCACCAAGGAAGAGGAGTACAGAGTCCCAAAGGCTGTGTAGAGTAAAGTGCTACACAGGCCAGAGAAACCAGCTAGCTTCTGAGTTTTCACATAATCCCAGAGCTCTTTGAAAGCATGAGAGTTGGCCAGGTAGTGGTGGCACATACTCTTAGAGGCAGAGCAATGTGAATCTCTTAGTTTGAGCCCAGCCTGGTCTACAGAGCAAATTCCAGGACTCTTGGGGCTATACAGAGAAACCCTGTCACAAAAACAAAGAAATAACAGAAATAAAGTATTGGGGGTTGGGAATAAAGCCAGTCTTCATCCTCCATCATTTCCTCCTCTTCTATTCTGTATGTTCAAGAGGGTTCATTGAAAAATCCCCAGAGTCCAGACGTAGCAGGGAAAGTCTAGGTCGCCTTGTTGTGTGTTCTAGCACCTTACTTGGTTTGGGTTTTGAGCCCACAGCAAACATTTAACTTGATGTTCCATCTGTTCAACAGGCAATTGAAAATATCGACACGTTAACCAACCTGGAGAGTTTGTTTCTGGGGAAAAACAAAATTACAAAACTTCAGAACCTGGATGCACTTACCAACCTGACAGTCCTCAGTATGCAGGTACTGGATCTCACCAGCTCCCAGCTTCTCATTCTCACAGGACCACCCACCATCCCCAACCTGATTTTATTCCCTTGGTATGTTCATGATCTGTACTGTTTAGTCGGTAGATGACAGAAACAGTAGACTCCACGGGCTGTATAAACACAAATCCTATAAACTAAAAATCCCTTTTTTTTTTTTTTTTACATACTTTATTTTTACTTTTAAGAATTTTATATTTTATATTATATAGACCAGGCTGGGCTCAAACTAAGAGATTCACATTGCTCTGCCTCTCAAGGTATGTGCCACCACTACCTGGCCAACTCTCATGCTTTCAAAGAGCTCTGGGATTATGTGAAAACTCAGAAGCTAGCTGGTTTCTCTGGCCTGTGTAGCACTTTACGCTACACAGCCTTTGGGACTCTGTACTCCTCTTCCTTGGTGCAGTCATGTGTCTTAGCCCTAGCTTTGTATCCTTACGGCTCTTCAAGAACCTCAAGGGCAGGCAGGCCACAGTGTATTGTATATAGCACTGCTGAAAACCAAATGGAAAGATTGCTCAGTGGTTAAGAGCTGTTCTTCCACAAGGTTCAGGTTTGAGTCCCAGCACCTGCATGGCTGTTCACAACTGTCTGTAACTCTAGACCCAGGGAATCTGATACCTTCTCTGTCCTCCATAGGCACCAGGCATTGTATGTGATGGTACAAAGACAGATGTGTATATTCAGGCAAAACGTACACATACACATAAAATAAAATTTAATTTAAAAGCAATTTTTCACCCCTGGGGCTGGAGAGGTGGTTCAGAAGTGAAGAGCACTGGCTGCTCTCCCAGATAATCCAGGTTCAGTTCCCAGCATTCACCTGGCAACTCACAAGTATCTCTAACTGTTGTCCCAGGGAACCCTACACTGTCTTCTGGCCTCTGAGGGCATCGGGCAAGCATGTGATGCACAGACATACTTGAAGGCAAACGTTTATGCACATAAAAGAGGGATAAAGGAATCTCATCCCTTCCTTTGTTGGTAATTGAGTAATAAGTACATTATAGGGCATCTTCAGAAGGGAGATCTTACCCCCAGTCCTCAAGTTCAAAGTGCAGACCCTATGGGAACTAGTCAGCTGTTCAGCACTAACAGAGATAGATTCAGATTCATGGGTTTTTGTTTAGTTGGTTTTTGGGTTTGTTTTTTTTTTTTTTGCTTGTTTTGTTTTGTTTTGTTTAAGATTGGGTCTCACTATGTAGCTCTGGCTGCCCTGTGTAACTCACTGTAAATCAGGCTGGATCTCCAATTCACAAGAGATCTAAGTGTCTCTGCCTCTAGCATATCCCAGCGATGGGATTAGAGGCATGTATCACTATCTGTGCCTGGTTCATAGTGAAATTTCTGTTGTTAGTTTTTAAGGTTTTGTTTTTGTTGGGGATGGGAAGTGGCTGTGGCAGCAAATTAGTAGAATCAAACTTTGAAGGGGTGAAGGGAGATATGACTAGGTGTGCCTGGGATGCCTAGTTTGGCAGGACCCATTAACAGCCAGTCACGACACAGGAAACCTCTTAGACTCTGAGTAAAACAGATGCCTTGCAAACTGCTTTGGAAGAGGCGTTCTTGAACTGGAATTGAGTTGTAAGATATTGCAAAAGAAATGAAATTGATTTGTTTCTAAAACAAAAGTGTTTGGAGAGTTGACCCAGGGAGTAAAGATGCTTGTTGGAAGCCCAGCCTGGTGACCTGAGGTCAGTTCCCCAGGTCCCATATAGCGAGTGGAGAGATGGACTTCCTGCAAGATATGGCTGGCTCAGCAGTTGAGAGCACTGGCTGCTCTCTCTTTCAGAGGACCTGGGCCTCAGCACCCACATGGCAGCTCCAATCCCCTCTTCTGGCCTTACCACCAGGCATGCATGTGGTGCACAGATGTACATGCAGACAGAAGACCCAAACACAAAGAATAAAATGGAATGTTTTCATTATATTTTTGAAATTTTAAAATTGTTCGATTCAGTGGTTCAGTGAGATGGCAGAGCAGGTAAAGACTCCTGCCACCAGGACTGACCACCTGAGTTCAGCCCCTCGTGCCCCCATGACCAGAGGGGCAAATGGACTCCTACTAGTGGTCCCCTGGCCTCATGTACATGCTCACCATGGCATGGGCGTGGGCACATACACATATAGGATGCACAAATATTTTATAGCCGGGCAGTGATGGCGCACGCCTTTAATCCCAGCACTTGGGAGGCAGAGGCAGGCGGATTTCTGAGTTCGAGAGTTCGAGGCTAGCCTGGTCTACAGAGTGAGTTCCAGGATAGCCAGGGCCACACAGAGAAACCCTATCTCAAAAAACCAAACCAAATAAATAAATAAATAAATTGAAGATCACAGATATTCACAAAGAAGGTAGGTACTTTTAAAAAAAAATTTTTTTAATTATTTCAAGTAAATCTTCAGATATATCTTTTTAAAAAAAAAGTGAGATTTTCATTCATATTTAAAAAAAACCCTGAACTTCCATGTGTGGATTTCTACCAGTACAACGTACCCAAAATGTTAATCTTCTCTCTTTCCCATTCAAGAACATTTTAAATTTTTTATTTTATTGTGTTTTTTTGTGGGGGGGGTTGATTTTTGGGGTTTTTGGATTTTTGGTTTTGGTTGGGTTTTTTGGGGGGTGTTGTTTGTTTGTTTGTTTGTTTTTGTTTTTCAAGACAGGGTTTCTCTGTGTAGTCCTGGCTGTCCTGGAACTCACTCTGTAGACCAGGCTGGCCTCAAACTCAGAAATCCGCCTGCCTCTACCTCCCAAATGCTATTTTATTGTTTTTATTTTGTTGAATATTTTGCCTGCATGTGGTACAGTCTACCTGGTGGTCTTGGAGGCCCAGAACAAGGCGCTGGATCCCCGGGACTGGAGTTGCAGATGATTGTGAGCAGCCATATGGATTCTGGGAATGAAACCCAGGTCCTCTGGATGAACATCCGGTGCTCTCAATCACTGGACTATTTTTACCCGATCCCATGCCCAACACATTTTAAATAAAATACCTGATCTTAGGATTCTTCGGGATAAATAGGAAACATCATTTCTAAAGCCATGTGTTTCTACCCTTTTGTGTAGCTGACAGCTTTTTCTTTTTCTTCTTCTTTTACTATTTTTATGTTTATGCTATGAATATGTGTATATTTGTGCACATGTGTGCATGCAGGTGCAGGCCCCAGATTGAAGTGATGCTTGATCACTTCTCCCCCTTATTCATAGAGTAGGTCTCTTAGTCACACCAAAGCTAACTGATATGGCTTGTTTTTCTGGCCAGCTTGCTGTGGGGAGCTCCAGTCTCTGGCCTTCCAAGGCTGGAATTACAGGCAAGCCACCACACTCACCTGTCATTTTTCTGAGTTCTGGGAGTCCAGATTCAGGTTCTCAAGCTTAAGTGGCAAATCTACTCTACCCCAAGATTGACACTTGTTAACTGTTTTCACAGAGCAATCGGCTAACAAAGATTGAAGGTCTACAGAGCTTGGTGAACCTTCGGGAACTATACCTCAGCCACAATGGCATCGAGGTTATCGAGGGCCTGGAAAACAATGTAAGAGCAAGTTGTCTATCTGAGGGAAGTAAAGGGAGGTGGAGAGGAAGAGACTGGTGTTGGTATTCACTGCCTCCCAAGCCTAAAGTGGACACAGTGCCTACAGAATGTGAGCTAAGGGCCCACTGACCCAATGAGTCAAAGGGCCAACATGTCATATCATGTCTGCCTGTGGGTTTTCAACACAGGTATCACAGACACCCTCCTAGGTCAGGTCACTGCACATCTGCCAAGTACTCTAGGCTTTTGGGTGACTTGAAAAGTCCTTACCTGCTCCCTGTATCACACAGATAGCTAACACAAGTATTATCAGCTGTGTCCTTCCCGTTTCTCCTGGCCACTGAGCTTCCTGGCCTGCCTCAGCCTCCACTCCAGCCTGTGAGGGCTGTAGAGTGAGCTCAGCTCTGCTGCTCAGAAGGAAGAGGGTGGCTCTTGCTCCCATGCCTGTCTCCTGGAATCTAAAGTGCTCAAGGATTCCTTCTCTTCTTCCTCTGCTCTTCTCCTCCTCTCTTCCTCCTCCCACGGCCTTTCACTAGCCTGCTCCTCTCCTCCAGCTTCCCTTCAGGAAGAGCCTCACACTTAAAATTGCCTTTGGCCTCACCTGTTTTTCCTCCAAGTATGATTCAAGACAGATAAAATATTTTTTCTTGTTCAATTTTACTGGGGTTGTTTTTTTGTTCTTTTGTTTGGGGGGGGGGTTGTTGGTTGGTTGGTTTTTGTTGTTGTTGTTGTTCAAGGGAACATTTTTATATATTTGGTTGGTTGGTTGGTTGGTTGGTCGGTCGGTCGGTTGGTTGGTTGATTCTGATTAATTGTCCCTAAGTGGAACAAGATTAGGTCAGGCTCTTGTTCTTGGAAGAATCATTCTTCAGAGCCCATCACAGGTTCATTTGTGCCCCAATCCAGGGCTGGGTTATGTCCATGATATCATTCTGGAGGAAAACCAGTGTTTTGGGTTTTTCAGAGCCCATCACAGGTTCATTTGTGCCCCAGTCCAGGGCTGGGTTATGTCAGTGATATCAATCTGGAAGAAAACCAGTATTTTGGGTTTTAGCATCACATATACAAGAATTTTCAGAAAAGCTAAAATTTGTCGATGTAATAATTTGGTAGCCTTCCTTTAAAGATGTATCCAGTATGTGAAACCAGGTGTAATAGCACACACCTATAATTACAGCACTTGCATGGTGAAAACAGGAAATCAGAAGTTCAAGGCCTCTCCCATGCATAAAACATGTCACAGGGACCAAATAACTTATGAAGATGGCACTCTAATACCTATGTGTGGACTCAGTACTGCTGGCATTTGTGCCTCTGTGCTTGTGTGATGCTTATGTAGGATGTGGGTCACAGTAAAGGTGTTACTGTGGAAACTTGAAGGGACCAGGAAGCCACAGATGTGACAATTTTTAATCAATAGCTACTGGCTATGTTTGAATTTTTTTCTTTTTTTTTAATTTCCATTAAAACTTAGAGAAAGATTTGGAATAAATATACCAGGAATGCAGTAGAAAACAGGGCCCATGAGTCTGAAATGCTGGGAGGCCTTGAGAGCAGAAGGGGAAGGACTGTTATCAGGCTCTCAGCCGCTGCAAGATTTCCATGGAGTCTAGCGGGGAAAAATCCCAGTTTGTTAAAATGTAGTGGCAAGCAGTATAAGCTATGGTAGACTTAATCTTAACCATGAAATTGTTCCTCTGTTGAATCCTAAAACTATAAACTTTAAAACAGTTACCCAAGCTGAGGTGATGTATACATCTGACAAGCACTTTTAGAGCACATCATAAAACCCAGTGTTGTGAGCTAGATGGTGGTGGCGCACGCCTTTAATCCCAGTGCTCGGGAGACAGAGGCAGGCAGATTGCTGAGTTTGAGACTAGCCTGATCCACAGAGCTAGTTCCAGGACAGTCAGGGCTACACAGAGAAACCCTGGAGAGGGAGAGGGAGGAGAAGGAGAGGGAGAAGGGGGGGGGGGAGGGAGAGACAGAGAGAGACAGACAGACAGACAGACAGACAGACAGGAGGAAGACCCCACAGTGCTGTGTTCTACTGGTATCCAAAGATACCATTCCTCTGTTGCTAAGGTTACACTTGCCCTTGCTGCAGTCATTCCTTCTAAGTCCCACCAGTTTTCAACACCTAGGCCTTCCTGGCATTACTCCAGGTAACTTTGTCCAAGAAAGGAAGGTTTGTTATTCCCACCTCCACTGTGTGCCTGGTGTATCTATCCTCACTGAAGAGAGGAACTCCACTGTAGGGTAATGTGGCACTGTGTATTTCCTCATGATAAACATTACAACGTGCTGAAATAATAGTCCTTCATTCCTTCTTCAAAGTTCAGGGTCACTGCTCTTCCCCGACCACGAGAAGAGGAGCAGGGGTCTCACTGGGGTCCTCTGTGGTTATGAGGCCTTCAGACTGACAGAAGTCACAGACACTGAAATCCTCCTGAGCTTCTGAGCAGAGACACTGAAATCAGGTCCAGCTGGGGAAACCTCAGCAAGTGAGCAGGTGACATCAACCTGAGAGCACCAGCGCCACAGTGTCGCATGTGCTTGCATGCTACTAGGAAACTTTTAATAATACAGAAAATATTTTCTTATTTTAGAACAAACTCACCATGTTGGATATTGCATCAAATAGAATAAAAAAGATTGAGAATATCAGCCATCTGTCAGAACTGCAAGAATTCTGGGTAAGTTTTAATCTTAGTAGGACTGGTATCCATCTCTTAGGCTCAGTGAGTCCCATTGAACAAAGCATGGGAATGAATCCAAGCCTGCCACTCTGGAAGCCTTGATCCTCAGAGAACTGTGCATGTGTTCTGAGGATCAGACTAAAGTTGTTAGCAAGTGATTTAACCGTTGAACTGTTTTACCACCCCACCTTCATTTTTTTGAGGACAGCATTAGGTAGGTAGGTAGATAGATAGATAGATAGATAGATAGATAGATAGATAGATAGATAGATAGTTATAGATACGTAGATTTTTTTTTTCTTTTGAGTAAGATCTTACTATATAGTCCTGACCATTCTGGAACTCTGTGTAGACCAGGCTGTTATCACAGAGATCCATCTGCCTTCACCTCCCAAATGCTGGGATTAATGGTATATGTTACCATGTACAGCTGAGTTTTTTAAACCTGTAAATTTTATAGTTTTTGTGAAATACAAAAAACAAAAAATTTCCTCTAAAATTTTTCCAGTCCCTCCCAACTTTTGATTTCTTGTAAAACTTTAAGTATCCATGTGCCAGTCCTTTGGTGAGCAGATCAGAGCAGACCTGTTACTCATCTCCCCTCCTGTCCTCGGATCTGCTCTGGCCAAGCCTAGTTTTATTGCTCTGTCTTCAAGATCTTGTTTTTCCTTCTGCAATACTTAGTCCCCTGTTAAGCTCATTAATTAGCTGCTTATGTTTTTAAGACTTGTGTATCTATTGTGTTTACGTTTTTTGGGGGGGTGGTTTTTTTTTGTTGTTGTTGTTTTTGTTTTTGTTTTTGTTTTTGAGACAGGGTTTCTCTGTGTAGTCCTGGCTGTCCTGGAACTCACGCTGTAGACCAGGCTGGCCTCAAACTCAGAAATCCGCCTGCCTCTGCCTCCCAATTGCTGGGATTAAAGGTGTGCGTCACCACTGCCCGGCCGTGTTTACATTTTTATAGTAATATGTATATATATATATGTATGGAGACATGTGCTTCTGTGTGGCACAGAAGCAAGAGGAGAGTATCTGTGCCCTCCTCTGTCATTTTCTGTCTATTGGAGGCAGAGTTTCTACCTGAACCTGAGTCTAGCATTTTCTCACTAAGCTAGACTGGAAGCTAGCAAGCCCCAGTGATCCCTTGTCTCCTCCTCCTTTGGAGCTGGGGTTACATAACACCCAGGATACCTGGCTTATTACATAGGATATGGACTCCATTCTTACATGGCAAGCACTTTTTTTTTTTTTTTTTTGTCTCAGAGTTTAGAAGAGCACAGTCTTGTCATGGCAGCAAGAACATGCAGATAGACTCTGGATCCTTCACATCTGGGAAGGGTAGGAAGCAAAGAGAGGGTCTGATGGTACTGCTTTTCACGTTTTTATTCAGTCCAAGATTCCAGCCCAAAGGATGATGCTACCCACATTCAGGGTAGGGCTTTCTTCCTTTGGAAATATCCTCAGACATCCCCAGAGATATATCTCCTAAGTGGTTCTAAATCCAGTCATACTGACAGTGAAGTTGGCCATCATGGCTATGCAATGAATTTGTGTTATAGTTATATTTTCAGCTCCTTGAGACTGTATTGTTAAGATTTTTTAGTTATGTATATGTATCTATGTCTAAGTATGAACTATGCACACATGACCACCTGTGCTCATGGAGGTAGAAAGACAGTATTGGATTCTTGGAGCTGAAGTTACAGGGGATGTGAGCCTGACTATGTCTGCTAGGACCCACGCTCAGACCCTCTACAAGAGTGGCACGTGCTCTTCACCTCTGAGTCACCGCTCCAGACTGTATTGTTTTGTTTCTCATAGATTTGATTTCTCTTCTCATTAGATTTTTATGTTTCTTTGTCATTCCTTCTTTGTATGACTCGTAATTTCTTGTGTGTTGAATATTATGAAACTAAACAGTTGCATGTCTGCATGCTACTTGAAATGCTCCACAGTTATAATCTGGACCTAGGAGGAATGGCACAGGCCTCTCAGGGTCCACTCCTGTCCCTTCCCCTTGCCACACTGGCAAAGTAGACATTATGCTGACTAAAATCTAGAACAGGGAAGGAGAACCTGGTGTATCAGTCTTCTTGCTGCTGACACCTGCTCTGACAGCAGACATTGCCTGCTTGTGTCACCAGCAAATGAGTGGATCGGTTGATTCTCCTCTGTATGTGCCTATGCTGGCCTCCCCGCCCTGGGTCTCTCTAGAGTGCTGCTCTGAAGAATTGAGCAGGTACCAGCCTTGGTTTTCCTATCACCCTAAGTCCTTCCTGGTTGTCTTCGCTTCTTCCTCTTCTATTCTACACCTCAGGATTGAGTCTCAGCATTGAGACTTCATTTTCCTCTCTCCTTGGCAGCCCTATTCAGTCTCACAGATTCAAATGTCACCACTCTGCTCTTGACAGCCAAGTTTCTCTTTCTAGCTCAAGGTCTTTTCTACATCCAGCTGTCTACTCATGTGTTGACCCACAATCCCTCCACATGGCTCAACCTCAGTGGACAGTGACTACCCTTCTAGATCTTCAGACCAGAAGTCTTGGCATCCTCCTATACCTCACTTTCCTGTGTATCAGATCCACTTAGATGTGTACTCCAACATCTAAATACTTGCCTCTGCCTTCAGAATACATCCCAAACCCATGTTCTTCCCACTTTTGCTGCTGCCACCTGGCCCAGACCATCAGCTTCCTTTCTCTGTTCCGATGGCCTTCTCACTTGGAGCCCTATACATTCCATACAGATAAGATCTTCATGCTTGATTTGGCTGCACATAAACTAAATTTTGAACAATACAGAGATTAGCATGGCCCCTGTGCAAGGATGACACACAGATTTATGAAGGATTCCATATTTTTATTGTGTATGAGTTAATAAATAGATAGAAACTAGGGGAAAAAACATAAAAGACTCTTCTAAAAGAAAACCTGTATTGGACTCCGATCCAATTTAGAAATAAAAGCCAGATTTCCCCATGATTCCCTTCACAATGCATCTCTGCTCTATAGCCAAACCTCTCTCTGCCCACAAGCATCATCACTACCAAATCCCAGAATTCTTCAGGGCGTCACACAGGATAGGGCTTCACCAATCACCAGTACAGAAGCAACACTCCCAGGACCTATACTGACCAGGTGCTTCAAACCCAAAGGTATGAGCCTTGTCATGCCCTGTGGACAGTAGAGTCTCAAGGCAAGTGCCTGAGAAGCACTTAAATGGAAAGTAATCTTGTGCCTTGAGATGCCTCCTCCACTGTATCCTCAGCCATGACCTTTAGCCTTCTGTTTAACATGCAGACATGTGTGTCACTTTAGCTTAGTTCTGGCCATGGTAGGTTCTCAGAGTAGAGAGGTCACTTTCCCAGGAATGGTGCCCTGCTGCTTCCTGCAGCTGCTTAATGCAGGCCCCGCAAGCTGGAGTATCTACAGACATGACTTCTGACTCTATTTGGGCAGAATGAGGCTGCAGACAGAGTTCCAAAGTTTGAAGCTAGACTGGCTGCTCTATTTGGACTGTTGACATGGCAGTTTGCCCTGACAGTTCTGTCTTCAGACCCCTGAGTGCAGTGGACTACCTCCAGCCTAAAAGGCATGAGTGTCGAAGTGCATCCTTCTGAACAGCTACAGTTAGGGCATCATGTTGTGCTATGTCAGCTATGCTACCTGCATCACAGACAGTAGCACACTCCACTAGTCATGATTTTTCTCTGGTCCATAGAACAAGCCAGTGGTTAAACATTTGCTAGAACACCACAGGCCCACACCTAGGTGGGTGTTTTGCTAAAGGAGCTCTTCCCAAGCCTCTGCCTCAGCACTTAGGCTGGAAAATGGGTTTGTACAGTTTTACCTGGTGCTGTAGGTTCTTACCCAAGGTAGCTTTGTCTCAAAAATTAATCCCAACATGAAGCCACATGTATCTGTTGGGCAACGTGAAAGTCAGCTCTGTCTCGATAGCACATTTGAGAAGGGCGAGCACTCTCCTGCCAGGCTCACTTCTTACAGGTGGGTTAGCAGAGATGAAACTGAATCCTACAGCTTAGGCCCCAGCCAGGGTTCCTCATCTGGTGTTGACAGTGTTGGTCAGCTATGGGTAGACTTTGCACACAGGAGCTAGCTAACAGTGGAAACATCCTCAGGACCATACCACAGAGGTGATCTAAGAATGACACTTGGAGTAGAGCAGCCTCCAGTTAGCTGTATTACACTCAGCAAGGCAGTTAGCTGTATTACAATACAGTTAGCTGTATTACAAGTCAGCCTTGGCGGGTCGGGCAGTGGTGGCACACGGCTTTAATCCCAGCACTTGGGAGGCAGAGGCAGGCGGATTTCTGAGTTCGAGGCCAGCCTGGTCTACAAAGTGAGTTCCAGGACAGCCAGGACTACACAGAGAAACCCTGTCTCGAAAAACCAAAAAAAAAAAAAAAAGTCAGCCTTGGCAACAGTTGGTGAGGTCAGGAGTATAGGAAAAGTAGCCAAAGAAGCCTCAAGGTCCCTCCCAGCTTGAGGGCTGGGACACATGCAGCCAGCACTGCTCCAGCCCTCCTCTAATGACCTTGGTTGCAGCAGTGGGGCTCCAGTTAGTGTGGGAACAGGGGGTGTTTTTCACAGTGCTGCTAAAAGGCAGCCAGGAAGTGCCAAGTGCTGACGGAAGGATCTCTGAGGGATTGGGATGAGAAAGACTATAGAGTTGTAATGACCCCTGTCTCATATCTGGGGATCCTGGGACACAGGGGCCAGAGCTGATCACTGATGACTCTTTCCACGTGTTCCCTCAGATGAATGACAATCTCCTGGAGAGCTGGAGTGACCTTGATGAGCTGAAGGGTGCCAGGAATCTGGAGACCGTGTACCTGGAGCGCAACCCCCTGCAGAAGGACCCACAATACCGGCGGAAGGTCATGCTGGCCCTACCCTCTGTGCGGCAGATCGACGCCACATACGTCAGGTTCTGAGCCCTCCTTGCTCCTCACCTGGTCCCTCTCCTCAAAAGAACTTCCCAGCCACGGTTTTTTAATCTACCTATTGCTCCTGAAGTCGTCACTATACCAACAGTCACAACCCAATGGCAATAATAAGGCACTGGTGGTACCTGGCCTGTGATGCTACACACCATCTGGAGATGCCAACACTATTAAATCTTGCCACGCGGTCTTCCTGGTGAATTGGTGACAGTTATTGTAGCCATGGAGAGAATGCAGGACATGTCACAGTCATTTGCTCTCCCTGTCTGTCTATGTCCTTAGCTCGGTGGGCATTCTGGGCTGCCCCAGCAGACTTGGTGGGCGTTCTGGGCTGCCCAGCAGACCTTCAAGTTGGTTTAAGTAGTCTTGACTCACAGCAGCACACTGGATAGTCTTTCAGACCAATTTTGGAAAGAAAAAAAAATTTCTTTGCCAGTTTTGAAAAGAAAAGATAATATTTAAAATTTTTTGAGTAAAAGATGGTCCAGTGTCCCGCTTGGTAAACGCTGAGTTACAGAGAGCTGAGCTCTGGCCACTGGGCGCTCGTCATGTGGCCCCTGTTCTCACCCCTGAGCCTTTGGCCTTATTTAGATGAAATTTCTATGAGCAAACGCCTAGGGTGTAAATCTAATGCTGCAAGAGCATTGTCCTCCCTCTGCACCTCAGACTTCCTCTTTCACACAATAAGGACTAACTGTGGTCACCAAAGATCCCTGAGCTCCCAGGGTTCTAGTTCTGCGCTGTCCCAGATGGAGCCACTAACTGCCACATGTCGCAGTTGCTATTCATAACTAATCCATTTATTCATTTGAAGGCTTTATTCATCTCTTCATTTGTGCTCACACTTCATGGCTCAGAGGACACACATATCATGGAAGGCATCCATTTCTATCGTCACAGAAGGTTTTGGAAAATATTGCTCTAGACTCTGTTTAGTATTAGGTGGAATAGCTTGCACCGAGCTTTGAAGCATGTGCCCACGTGTCCAAGCTAACCAGTTGGCCAACTGCCCAGGAGTTTGTAACGTCAGAATGGTTACATGGGATTTAACATCCATTTTCTGATTCTTATTCTCACCAAAATAAACTGTATGATCTGAATCTGTGCACCATCTCCCTGACTAGGAGTAAGCTCTTAGCAAGAACCGTTGAGTGGAGCAGCATGCAGCCCAGGGCACATTGTGCCAGAGCCCTGGGATTGTACAAGCACCATTCAGGTCAGAACAAGAGAAAAACATCGTAAACACACAGGACTGAAATGTAGGTGTGCCTGCTGCAGTCACTCACGGGAGCCCTACACACGTGCGCGTGACTTCTATAGAATGTAGAGAGAGAAGTAATAGAGAGGGGGCAACAGGCACCAAAGCCACAGAGCCCTCAGTTGTGGGAGGGTCCTGCCAGTTAAATGGAATGGACAGGGAGAAATGACTCCAAATGAATTGAAATTCTGGAATTAGGAAAAAATGTCAAAAAATTATTCCTTAAAACAGGTCTAGGTCCCAGGAAGAATCTCCAGAATCTACAACTGGTTGGAAGTACCCAGTTATGACCAGTAGAAAATGGCCCTAAAAATCTTAACAAATATAGTACAGAAGTGAAAAACACTGCTTTTACATAAGAATATAAATACAAAGGTCTGAAATCAAAAATCAGCAAATCAAAGACTACTGATTTTTCACCAGGAAGGTTTTATCTCAGGAATGAATGCAGGCATGGCTTAAAAGCAGGCAGGACAGGGTCTGGAGTGCAGGCCTGTAACCCCAGCTGCTCAGGAGGCTGAGGGAAGAAGATGAAAAGTTAAGGCATGGCTTAGCTACAGAGTGAAATTGAGGCCAGCCTGAGCAACCTAATGAAATCCTTTCAAAAAGTAACAATGGGGCTGGGAGTATAGCAGAAGAATAGAATACCTGCCTAGCTTGTAGAAGACCCTGGGTTGCCGGGCGGTGGTGGCGCACGCCTTTAATCCTAGCACTTGGGAGGCAGAGGCAGGTGGATTTCTGAGTTTGAGGCCAGCCTGGTCTACAGAGTGAGTTCCAGGACAGCCAGGGCTACACAGAGAAACCCTGTCTCGAACCCCCCCCCCCAAAAAAAAGACCCTGGGTTTATTTCCTAATATTAAGGGGAGGGAAAGTAAACAGAACCAGAATTTACATAAATCACCACTCAGTGCAGTAAAAGAAAAAAAAAAAAACAATGTTATAAAGATTCAACTGTATATATTCCTGGATTTCTTTTCAAGGAAAACCATTATTATTATTATTATTATTATTGTCATCATCATTAGCACGATGCATGATGTCTGTATGTGGTTGTGTGCACATATGTGCTGTGGTGCAGCATGTGAACCTCAAAGGACAGCATTATAGAGTTGCTTCTCTCCTTCCTCCTCCATGTGAGTTCTGGGAATTGAACTTAGGTTGTCAGGCTTACGCAGCAAACTGTTTACCTATTGGACCATCTCATTGGTTCTGTATTCCTGGATTTTAACATTTTTATTTCTTTATAAATAAAAAGATGTCTTAAGGGTTGTAGAATCTGATAGACTTGAGCTGTGGAGAAAGCCCAGTGGGTAAGAAAGCTTGCTCTGCAAACCTAAGAACCCGAATTCAATCCCCATCTCCCACTTACAGACTGAGCATGGCTTTTGAGTAAGGTTGCAATACTGTATATAATCCTAGCAGAGAAGCTAGTTCAGTGGTCTAGTGTGTGCTTAGCATATGTAGGCCCTGATACCATTGCCAGGGGTTGGGGGATTATTGACGGTGAGGGCAATCCCTTCACTGGGTTATACACTGTTGTTATTTTTTATTGTCATATGACAGAATACCCTGAGGTACCAGGAAGAAGGGTTTATTATTATCATTATTATTAATTATTGTCATCATCATTAGCACTATGCATGGTGTCTGTGTGCACTGTGTATGATGTCTGGCTCGTGGCTCACTGGATATAGTGCCAGCGAGAGTAGCTTCCCACTGCAACAGTGGGAACTAACATCTACAGTCAAGAGGCAAAGACTCATCCAGGGTTTGCCTCTCAGCAACCCACTTCCAGCTAGAGTTTACATCCTAAAGGTTCTACAACCTTCCAAAATAGCACCACCAACTGGGGACCAAATAGTCAAATGTGTAAGCCTCTGGTTACATTTCCCCTTCCAGCTGTAACATACACCACACGAGGGCACACACAATAGAGCTACCACGCTGCATTTCATCAAATCTGAATACCATGAACTGTAAGATACTGGCACTTTATGAACACTAAGGAAACCCTGCCAAATAGTTGTGCCATTAGACCTACTTTAGTTGTAGAACATATGCTCAGTCCAGAGGTGTTTATTTGTGAAAAATAAACTGTATAAATACCAGCACTAAAAACTGCAAGCAAATAGATACTGATAGAAGGAATGTTTCCAGCAGGCAGCCAGCAGATCGGCTATGCAGGTGAAGTAACTGAGGAAGCATGGGAATTCTAGGATAGAATTTACATTGACTTCCTCCCTAAGGAAGGAAAAGCAGTGAGAAGCATTAGCTACCTGATAAAAGAGCCACCATTAAGAAAAGGGCCTCTCTCACCAAAAGCCACATTAAAAACAATCAGTAAAGTAGAAGTTGACCTAAGTGTGAAAGATAGTGATTGAATGTATTGGGGGGGGGGTATCTACAGTCCAATAAAAAAGTCAGCCATCCAGATAGCTTAAGAGGTAAAGGCACTGGCCACCAGTCCTGATTATCAGAGTTCTGTCTTTGAGATCCGTGTGGTGAGAGGAGAGAACCAACTTCCAGGAGTTGTCCTCTGACTTCCACATGTCCTCTGGCATACACATACACACACACACACACAGAGACACACACACACACACAAAGTATAATTTTTTTAATTAAAAAAAGTCAGAAAACTGGGAATTTCCTTCAGAGAAGGTAGTACATAACAAACACAGGGCTCTTAGTAATCAGTGAAAAGCAGTGAAACCATCCATTAGGTGGGGTTGTAGCCCAGTGGTAGAATGCTTGCCCAGCATGTGGGAGGCCTTGAGTTTGATCACTGGCTTATGACTGGGAAGTAGGTAACTCAAGGGTTTTGGAGGTCCAGGCCATAAGTACCCTGCTCCCTTGATGAGATCCAGGGAGTGCACAGCATCCCGGAGCTGCAGCAGTCCTACACGATGCTCAGTTTTTCCTTCACTCAGTCCCACTCTTCAGGAACTTTGTCTTGCAGAAATTATCAGATGTGTATACTGAGACTTAAGGCCTGTTGCCCAGTGCAGCCCACAAAAGTGGAGGCAACTTGAGCCCCAACATCCAGGCCCTAGCCTCTGACACCTGATGCAGCAGAAGGGGTCCCAGTTTGAATTAGGTTTAAAACTTTGAGACACTGGGGAGGTGTAAATGGAAGATGGATTGTTAGATGCAAAGATGACTATGAAGACAAAAGGGGAATCCATAAATCAGCCTTTGCCCTCAGACTGGAAAGGGCTTCTCCCAACCCCCAGGAGAGAATGAGACCGAGTGACACCCTGACCTTAGCCTAATGGCAGACTCAGACTTGACATCTCCAGGACTAGGATGTCTTTTAGGATGGCAGCATGTGCTAGTTTGTTAGAGGAACATCCAAACAGAGCACTGTGTAAAAGTGAACCCTTTTATTTCCCCAGCATTCTGCCTCAGGCTCTGACTTCCCTTGATGTCTAATGAAAGCTTAACTGGCTAGTAAAACAAGGTTTGCTTCTGTCTGTGGCAAGACTGAGTACTTTGTCCCTTCAAAGTTGTTTCCCCAAGAACCCAGCACACCAGGAGACCTCTGCTGGGAGGACTGGGGCCCACAGGTAAGTCTCCCCTCACTGGGCCCTCCAGAAATTACCTCTTTTTTCTCTCTCAGTTCCTCTTCTGCATCACGCTCCAACCAAAGGGTAGAAGGTCTTAGCTCCTATTCCTGTGAGAGTCTGTGTTCACCCTGTCTGCACCCTCCTATTCAGAACCCATAGGACCTGCTCCCCGTGTCTGCTTTTCTGTCCTGGTCATCCCAAACCCGCCTGCCAGCTCTTTGTAGCCCTGTCCAGTTGAGCTCTGCCAACTGGGATCAGGAACATAGGACAGAACAAGGTTTCATAATGCTCCCAACCCCACTGCAGCTTTGCCATCTCTACCACAATGGGGCATAGGAGGGGCAACCAGGGACATGTTCTTAGGACCTATACTGGGCCCTTGCTTTCTGCCAGGTGATAACCACATACTCACTAGTGTGGGCATTCAGAGTACAGAAGAGCTCAACAGAAGGTTAGACGTGATCTGTGGCTTCTACCCTGTTTCCCCCTCCCTGCCTCTAGGTACCAAGCCTGGAGAGGGTGTTTTAGAAACAGAAGGAGTAGGGGTACCCGAGGCAGATGCCAGACCAAGTGTGTAGTGTAGCATACACTGGGTCTGGCCCAGCAGGTTAAAACACTCATGAACAGAGAAAAGTATCACTGGACTCCTGACCTTTGTTGGATGTGACTGGAGAGACATCAAAACAATCTGGGAAGAAGGGTGGAGAGGTGTTGGGAGCTAGATTCAGGAAAGCCATCCAGGGTTAGGCATGGGAACCTGTGACCTAATTTGCTAGGCTGCAGCCCCAACTCCCAGCTAGGAAGGAAACATACCAGGGCTCAGGGCCCTCTAGCCTACCTCCCTAGAAATCATAAGCACTTCTTTCCCCCATGGATACCTAGCCTTCTGAGCAGGGTTAGGTCAGGGCTCACTCTCTTGCCATGGAGTGAATTTCTTCTTTTTTTTTTTTAATTTTAAGTTTATGTGTATGAGTGGTTTTCCTCCATCTAAGCACACTGCTTTGCCATTGGAGGCCAGCCCCTGTAATGGACTTACATTACATAAGCCAATAGAAAAAACTGTCAAAGATTAGGGGCTTGAGTCTCCTGGCACCTGGGATATAGATATAACAAGCACCTGTACTGACCCTTCCCTTCCTCCTGCAAGAAGGAATCCAGCTTGAAACAGCATCAGCTCATGTGGGATTGTGTAGCATACAGGAAAAATTAGCCCAGGGAGCAGGGAGATTCTGGCTTAGTGCCTTAAGTCACTCCCCACCAACCAAGTCCAATGACC